TTCGATTGGAGTGGGGGTACTCACGTCAGCCACTTTGCCATTGCCAAGCTGACCGAAACAACCTCGACCCCATGAAAATACTAAGCCAGTACTTGTGATGGCGACAGCGAAGTGGTTCCCAGCGGAGATTTTAACCACGTTATGTCCATTCAGGCCTTCCACTAGTCTCGGGATTCTCTCGACGATCACAACTTTTTCCGGCGGTTCTTCTCCTTCTTCGCTGTCTTTTTCGCCGTCAAGATTGTCGTTAGGATGTCCGGTTTCGATCCTTGCTTCGATATCTTCATCTGTTTCGGTGGTTAATTCAGCGACGTGTTCTTGCTCCAGTTCCTCCCCGTGGCCCAGTTGGCCGAAAATCTGTGTACCCCACGAATACAACCGTCCTTGATCTAGTATCAAGAGAATAAAAAGTGAACGGATGAACACACAACTCTTAACTACTTCATCGTATATAAATTTCTTTTGTCACCTCACCATCGAGTGCATACGCTGCGAGGTGTCCAGCTTCCACTGCAACCATGTTAGCTGGCGTTTCCAACTTAATCTCAACAGGTTTCCACATATTACAGCCATCCTGTTTCATGAACAAGCGTCCAGACTGAAAGATTCTGTTATCGTCTGCGTACATAGAAAATCATTTACTAAGCGTCCAGTTTCAACACATTACACTCAAACTTATACCAGTAAGAAAAAGACTCAATCGATTCCCTGCGGATACAGCTCGAACAATATTTCGACGAAACAACGCCAACCTCTTCATTTCCACTACGCGTCGAGTGTTATTGTGTCCCAGCGCTCCATCCGTGTACCCATATCCCCACGACACAGGCCGTGTTTCATGTGAAGCTTGATGAGCTGCCTGGAATATAGTACTAGCAACGCGATAGGATTCTCCCAGCGTTGTCCCTGGAAACCAAGTAGTATAGCGCTCGACCGCGTCCAGCCCAAGACCTTTGGACGATTCTCGCTCAAGAAACGATGCCTTCTCGTGGTACTTTGGATGGCGATGCACTCGCTTCCTTGTCCGCTGCACAGGTGTAGCTGGACGCGGTTGCTCGATCTCTACCGTCGACACAACATCCTCGATAATCTTCGGTTGAACCACAGGGGTCTTGTGAGTCGTCCTCTTGGCTTTGGGAGAGCGAGGCATATCCCGACCTTTCACTAAATCTTTATTGATATGTCCTTAATACGTTTCTAGGCTTCAGTATTTAGAGCACTTGGTTGGATCGGAAACAGCATTTGGTGTCGAATTTCGTAAATCGGAGATGATCCACTTATTCTTCGGACGTCACAAAGTAGTGTAAAAAGTCCAAATGCACTGAAAACTAGTTGAGTTGCTCCAAGTATGACGGCACAGATACCGAGTAACGAGTAGTTATCCTTTGCAACTTGTAGCAACTCAACGCGACAATAGTCTCGACCTGGAACGGGGCAATGTGCTTCTGAAGTAGTTCTTACACACTCAGAGACGCGAGAGGAGCAGTATCTCCCCCCGATAGCATTAGCGTCTTCAACTGCTGTCTGAAGTGTAGCGTCCCACGAAGAACTGGGGCTTAAGTAGCCTTGAATGACGCTGACTCGATCGTAGCCGCAGCACTTGAGTTCGTTCTGTGTACTCCTCCACGATGAGCTGCTTTTTAAGACTTGGGCCTCTAATCTCGTGATGATATTTGTTTCTAAAACCACGACCCGATCGCTGGAAAAATCTTCATCTTGTGCTTGATCGACTACGTGAACAAGCGACAATGCCATTGCACCAGCAACGACCACAATGATCGCTCCAATGGTACCTAGAATGATAAACTACAGCTAATTTTTAGTCGTGATAAATGCAAGGTTTGAATCAGAGTTCGCACCATTCCAAGTGAGTAGTTGCGACCGCCTTCCGTGACGATTTTCCGGTGATGAAGCAGCCCGTAGAGCCCAAAACAGGACGCCAACGTGATAGCGAGTCCACTGTAGGCTGCCAAGTTGAATGGCAGTGTGGGGGTTAAGTTCCCGCCCTCTTTAAAGTAGAGCATATAAAGCACAAGACAAGCCAGGATAATACCGAGCAAGATCGCCACTACCGTCCACAAGTACAAAAACGTCTCCACGAGTCGTGCGACTGGAAAACTTGCTGCGGATTCGCTCAGTCGTGGCATTTGAGCTTGTCGTGCCGCGCGTGGCGGAGAGAGAACCCCTCGAGCTGGAATAGGCCGCTTTAGGTGAAGCTGGGGCAGAATCTGCCCTACCGATGTCCCATTTAAATCGTTCTCAGCCACGGTCATCGTACAATGAGGTGCAATGCACAATCAACGATTTTGAGCAGTTTCATGTCCTCTCACTACTGTTTCCGAGAATAACATTAGCTGGATACTTTTCAATCATCTATCGATGGAAAGTGATAACCAACACATATTATGCATTAATAAATTTTAAAAAGATTAAATTCATTCCTGTATGCAGGGCTACCGAAAAAATAATACCCGTTATAATACATTAGAATACTTTAATTCAATTATTAATTCTGTCAGACCAATTCATTTTTGAATTATACATAATTTAAACCTAAATTGTAAAGTTGGCCCCACGGCAGCCACCAGTGTCCTCTGTCCGTCCACCACCAATGCATGAATTCCTATTGATCTCCAGACTCAAGAAAAACTTTTGCCATTTTCAAATTCACTTTTACTACCTCACGATAACCCGGCTCCTAGATCTTCCTGTCCACTATGGTTCTCACAAGTAGCCAAATTTGCTCCATGCTGTTC